GCACTGCTTCCCCCTCCTGAGGCGCCGGACGGTTTGCCAGAATCTCTTCGAGGCCGACCGATAGTCCTGCTCCATGGAGTCTCCAAACTCCTCCCAGACCCGGGTTTTTACCTCTGCAACAACCCGGGCCGCGGCACGCTTGGCCTGCCGGTACTGGACAGGCCAAGGAGTCCCCCGAACCATCATGGCTCGATAGGACTCCTTCTTCAGCCTGACGGCATCCCTTACTGCCGGTGTCCACCACCGGGTTCGGGGGTTGCCACCGGGACCAGCACCAGAGACCTTGCGACCACAGCTACGAGCTGCCGCATCGGCGATAGAGGAAGAGAACATGGTCCACTCAGACTCAATGTCCCCCTCCTCTGCCGGGACCTGGGAGAAGCTCTCCCGGAGGTGTGAGTTGAAAGTCCGGCTGACAGGGGGCTCAGCGAGACGTAGCTGTAGTGAGGGTCTCACTACACGCTTGGGCCTGCCAGGTCTGACCGGCTTCCTCCCCTGCCAGCGGATCCAACTCACAACCAGGTGGTGATCGGTTGACAACTCCGCCCCTCTCTTCACCCGAGTGTCCGAGACACGCGGTCGAAGGTTAGATGATACGACAACAAAGTCGATCATCGACCTCCGGCCTAGGGTGTCCTGGTGCCACGTGCACTGGTGGACACCCTTGTGCTCGAACATGGTGTTCGTGATGGACAAACTGTGACTAGCACTGAAGTCCAACAACTGAACACAGCTCGGGTTCAGATCAGCGGGGCCGTTCTTCCCTATCACCCCTCTCCAAGTGTCACTGGCATTTCCCACATGGGCGTTGAAGTCCCCAAGGAGAATAACGGAATCATATATATATATATATATATATATATATATATATATATATATATATATATATATATATATATATATATATATATATACTGTATATATATATACTGTATATATATATACTGTATGTATCTCTATACAGCAAATGGAGAGATATGTTTGATATAACATTTTGGAACATATGGAACCATCAAAGAGACGGTGAGTCAAAATCAGTGGCAATATTTCAAACTTAAATTTCAACAGTAATTTCAACTTAAAAATTCAACAGTAAACAGGATACAAAAACAGAAATACAGTTGGAAAAGGAATTTGGCTCCAACCCCTCCAACTCATTCATTCTCACTAGTGATGGCAATTCTTTCATAGCTGAATTGTTTCCTCACCCAAAACTATATCTCTGAGTTAGCTGAATGAGTCTAAATATGTAGCTGGGATTAGTAGCAACTTTATTTCTCTGAGGATATAACGGCCTGTGAGCTGCGAGGAGATAACGCCAACACCATCTGAGCGTGGCCGCAAACACATCCACACAGTCATCGCTCTAATGCCTGCACTTCACGTAATTGAGTTTTCTCTTTGTAAGCCACTGACAGAAATATAAACACGCTGAGGCCGCAAAAAAGCTCCGGAGCTGTGAAGATGGAAGAAGAGCAAGTGAAGATGGCCCACTAAAGAGATGGACCAGCCCAGTAATGGCAGCTAATGATTTCAAATGAACAAATTGGAATGAGATGAAACTACAAGCTTATGACAAGAAAAATGACAATAATAATGCATCAGTTTCATATAGCGCTATATGAAACTGATGCATTATTATGGCATTATCCATTCATTCCATACATAGTGGTGATAAAACTGCAGACTGACAGAATAGAGGAAAGCAGTATGTGCCATCGGCCCCTCTGACCACTACCAACCATTCACACACAGACACACACCAGTCTCATAAAAGGCAATGTGGGTGAAGTGTCTAGCCTAGGGACATTACAGTACACTCTCCCATCAGAGGACTAAGGCTTTCACATGGAGGTGGCCCCACTGACAAAGACAAATCACAAAAATCTTAATTTAATGGCAATCATGATAGATAGTCAACAACTATTCAAGTTGGTGAAGAGAGACGGAAACATAGACCTGCTCATAAATGAAATATATTAAAATACTTGCCATTGGTCAAACTATTCTCCTTCGGCAATTCTTACTGGTCACAGTTTTGTTAAGAAGAAGGTCTACCAGAAAAAATATTAATTACAAATGGTAAAAATGTGCAGTTGCTAAGCCTTAGCATTAGCTTCAAAATTAGGTGAAATATGTTACTTTTGTAATTGTTTCACACACTTGCAACCATTCTGAGTTTAGTAACAAGAAAAAACAGGCAGTTTAATTAGCTACTAAAGTGATAGCATGGAGAAATGTTGTTGCAGCTGATACCGAGTCCCCTGTCTGTCAAGGGACTAGTTCAAAGTATGGTCTTTGACAAAGTTGGGAAATAGCATTTGCCTTAGCTATCGTTTTAATTAGACACTGTGTTAGCTGCAGCTGCTAATTAGCATCTACATACTAAATAATGAATAGGGCTTCTGGAGCGCCAGTTGAAAATGTCTCATACACATCCATCCTGAAACACTTAATTCTATGTTGGCATTGTCAAATACATATGGGCTTCAATTATTAAGCAGTTGTAATAAAGATATATGTAAGATTTCCTTGTTTGTTGTATTATATTGCTAGTAGGGCTGGGCGATTAATCGATTTTAATCATTAATTCGAGTTTTACGTTTAGGGCGATTTCTTTTTAAAAAAAATCGATTTTTCTTTTCTCCAGCGCAGAACTACAGCGCTAACCGCGGGTCTATGGTGTTGAGCAGTCATTTTGAAGCTAACCTAATGCTAACAGTCTCCCTCTGGCCTGATGCTCGCTCTCACAGTTGGTGCTGTTGCAATAACACTTCAAACGTTCAAGAATCAGACTTTATTTAATCGCCAAAACACACACACACACACGCACGCAGGCTCCGGTCACTATGTTCGTACGCCATGTTCGTACGCCACATCTTTCACGCTCTCTCACGCTCGTTATTCCAAAGCGCACTCCCGTGTCCGTGGCGCGCACACACTCGTGTCCCACTGAGCCGCTGCACTTTGGGGAAAGACACGTCTCACACATTGCTCTCATTGCTCTGATACAAACAACGTGTTCCCCGCTGTCTGTTAGCTACAGTAGCTGCTACAGTAGCTGTTAGCTACAGCATCAGAATGTAAACAGGAAGCTCGCACAATGCGGGAGTCACTGAAGTTAGTATTAGCGCCACCAGCTGGACCGAGCGTTGTACTACAGCACAGTTACTCAGGCACAGTTGAAAGAACAAGCATGAAAACCCGAGGAGGCTTTTGGAAAAGACTGTCTGATTACTCAAAATAGAAATGTTGTAACAGTTTTAAAAATGTGATATTTCATGTAAATAATGCATGTGTTTAATAGGATTGATATATTTGCGATGGGCCTTGTTTTTGTGATTTAAGTTATTTTGAAGGTGCATAGTGGTAAGTGAAGTTATTATAAAACTGTTAAGCTACATTTTCACTGTTTACAATGGCAGAGCCATCTCGTTTACAAGCATGTTTTAAGGCTTAATTCCTGTTACACTTATGCTCCATGGGGATTTAGATTAAACTGCATAAAGGAAAATCTATTTCTTTGTCAGTTGTAGTTTGTTTTTAAATAGAAAAAAATAAATCGATTAAAATCGAAAATCGGATTTGGTGTGAAAAAATCGGAGATTTTTTTTTTTTGCCATATCGCCCAGCCCTAATTGCTAGCATATAGTTCTACAGTATTTGTGTATATGCTCTATATTAGGGGAGTCAAACTCATTTTGGTCAGGAGCCAAAAGGAGAAAAGTGATTTTATAATGATATATAGTATATGTTATATATATTTGTGAAGTCAATCATGACGGAAGGTAGCACCATGCCTCATTGTTGTCTCATTCTGCGATTGGTACCCAAATCCATGCGAAAATCTCGAGCAGAGTTCAAAATGATATGAGCGCTCACACCAGCATGGGAATTCCCAGGCTAAAAGTCAATGATAAGATTGAAAATCCTTTCAAAGGCCACTAAAAATGGCTTGAATTGACATGCTCTATATACATACTAATCCATTTTTATTTTCCTAGTTTTTGCATTTAACTTTAACGCATTATCTCAAATTCAAGAAAAGCTGATGTAAAAAACCTCTATTATATCTATTTTTACTGTCTCTGTATGACAAATTCCATTGAAAAGACCTCTCTCGTCTGAGTCACCTCAAAGCATTAATACAATGAAGGCCCTGGACCAAGAGGAGGATTTGGTTTATACCATGTATAGCTCTTCCAAATCGACCTTGACTGCAAAATAGAGGATTATAGTGAGGAACATTTTCTTGGCACGTCAGCGGAAGCGTGGTGCATTTATGGTGCATTTTTGACTGTGTAAAAATGAAACACTGAGTAATGCTGATGAGTTTGTGCCACTCTAACCTTGACTCCATAAAGCTACAATCGGATTATGCTGTCATGCACTGGTTTCATGGGACAAGCTTCAAAAAGTCACTACAAGAGAAAGCAGTTAGTGTCTGCTTTGATAAATCTGGGATTATGTGCAATGGCAATGAATTCTCCTTGCATATAAAGCTACTCTTATTTTCATAGAGGAAGCAGGGCAAATAGGTCTATCGAGAGTTTGTGTGCGTTCTAACAGTGTGTGTTCTAATCAGTGCTAGAGAACTGATGATGTACATGTTCTATAGCACTAAACAACTACAAATTGAAGTCTTTATTCATTTATATTATTTATCATTTCTTGTTATATTTTTGTTTATGTGTACCGTAACATAGGTAAAGAAAGAAAATGGACGGATGGTGTTTTGTCACTTCCTCGTTGCCCACTGGATGTTAATGAAGTGGTTCAATTTGCAGCAAATTAATTAGGAACGCTCACAGCTGCTTTGTAGAGAAAGTCGCTATGAGATTTTCCAAGAGAGTCCAGAACTATTGTAGCCTGGATGCTTTCTAAATAGATACATAGGCAACACTCATGTCAGTAAAGTCTATGTATCTTGCGATCCATCTAATTACAGTACGTAAAGTGTGGAATGGCTGTTTGGATATGGGTGCACTAGTAGAGCGTACCTTGAGGTCCCTCTGGCGGCTGTGCTCCTTCTCCTGCAGGGCGCAGCAGTGGCTCTCCTGGAGCCGGTGCTGTCTGCGCTGGTGCTCCGTCTGCAGCTCGTCCAGTTGCAGACGCAGGTGCTCCCTCTCCTGACTAAACTGAGCCTGAAGCTGCTGCAGAGACGACTGCGACTGGGACAACTGCATCTCCAGGCTCTGCTTCAACAGTGAGATCTGCACCAGACACGCACAAACACAAAACAACACAATCATTAATTTTGATCACTTGGGAAGTTTTATTGGCACATATTGTAAATTGCGTCTTCTATATTGTGCATTGCAAAGTGAACAATATACGATCATTATGAGTTAGAGTTGGAATCAGTTAACAGATAACTAATGTGATAGCTCTATGCTCCACAACAGCCTCTCACAAGGTAGGTCGAGACAGAGATACATGACCTCCTGGAGCGTTTCTAACCCCCCAGACCAGGGGGCTCTCTGCTGGGTGCGAGTGCACCTGCAGAGTGGAAGCCGCTTAAGGAGCATCAAAGCTCGCCTAAAGCAAAGAGGGACAGCAGTGTTCCTCTGATCTCTGCTCTTTTCTTTACAACTACATCTCAAACTGTGGAAACAAACCATTAACTGCACTACCCACTCCACATGCCTCAGCTTCAGCTCCTCTCTGTGCCGGCTCACTGTCTGTCTGAAACTGTTTTTATCATTTCTGTGTTTTTTTATTGTTTTTAATGGACCTCAGGAAGACAGGTTGCCAGAAAGCAAAAGACCAGGTTTGGATCAGGTCTGGACCGGGACAGAATCAGGACTATATTTAATAAATTGAATAGAAGAGAATATCAAATCACACTCTATTATGTTATAATATTGTGCAACGCATGCAGCAATAAAACAAAAACCCTGATACAATGTTGGGGGGTCATGACTACATCAGTGGATTGTCAGGTGGGTCCCAAGGAGCCACACATTGAAAAACACTTCTAGAATATGCATGAGGAGATGCATTTGTTCTGCTATGTAATCTTCATGTTTCCAATTATATTAATTTTGAATAATTAAGTGAAAGGAATCGTTCGGGTGGGAGTCAATTAGCGATAAACAAACATATAAAGGGTTGCAGCCTCTGGCAGTCTAATCCTAAAACTGTTTCATTCCCAGTGAGTTTTGCTCTTTGAAAAATGTGTTTTGTGTTCAAAAGCAGTTTTTATCAGGCCAGCTTTAGAGATTGAGATGCTGAGTGGAGACCCATGGGTCAACTGTTCCCAGTGTGACAACCATTAGTTTATTTATAGCAGCCGTGAGGCTTCTACACTCTTTCTCTCATATGCAAACTGACAGTGCTGTGGGCAAAGCAGGAGGACCTGTATAATTTAGGAAAGTGTAGCCTGAATTTTACAAAATCACAACATATATAAATGGCATCAAAGTTTTTCTAATGCTAAGAAGTGGTATTTGACTGACGGAGCAGTGGAAATAGATAGAATGATGCTTGTGCAAGTTGAAAGTACTATTGCACAAAATTGAGGCAATTCGTCAAGTTAATCCTATTTGCTCTACACAATAAGTTAATAGTCGAGTTAATTCCCGAAAAAAGGAGCAAGAAAAATCTCAGATAAGCAGAGGTGCAGGATGGTGAGAACAGTCAGAGTCAACCCACCGATCAGCTCCAAAGACATGAGCTGCAGATGGTGTCACTGTGCATCGTTCATCTATTCAGCAGGAATGCTAGGGATGCCTTTTCTCTGCACAAGCCACAAACAGTGCCACTCGAGGTGTTCTAAAGCATATTTAGACAAGCCAGCTGTAATCTGGAATATGGTGCAGTGGAATGATGAAACTAAAACCCCTTATTTGGGCAAATAAGGGGCAGAATATGCATCTTTGGAAAGCTTTGAGACATAACCATGAAAAAACTGCTGAAAGTTTTTTTGAGTTTTCATTTGAACAATTTCTCTGCTTCTGGATGTCTTCAATATCTGAAGTGGATAGTGTTTGTTTAATGTTGTGTCCATGATTTGCTTCTTTACAGAAATTTCACAACAATATATTATACATATCTTCAGCCAAATCTATGGACATGAGTGTGCTGGGGCAACTGCTCTCTTCTTCCCGATCTACACTATTTGGACTGTTTGAGTCTCTGATCTGTGTTGGCGAATCGACAACGTTGTAAAGTCCTCAGAGATAAGTCAGGGAGGTGACCAGGAGGCATCCGACACAGACGCCAGAGCCACCTCAAATGGCTCCTCTCAACGTGGAGAAGTAGCGGTTCTACTCCAAGCTCCTCACGTGTGACTGAGCTCCTCACCCTATGTCTAAGGGAGCGCCCAACCACTCTGCAAAGGAAACTGATTTCAACCGCTTGTATGCTCAATCATGTCCTTTCGGCCATTACCCAAAGCTCATCACCAGAGGTGAGGAAGGGAACATTAGAAGATGGAAAAAAGTTATGGGTTTGATTGCACTTATTATATTATTATCTCATTCAAATTCAAGAGGATCTAAATTATGGGAAAAAAATTTATCTATTTGAAAATGGTTGTTTATCAAAAAGAGGTCTGCAAAGCTAATTTAGAAATAGCAGTCATAACATGTTTTGTTTCAGGATCTGCAAGTCAAATATTATGTTACAATTTTCAAATCAAGACAAGGTAGGTCAGAGTTTTCCTAATCGTCAGTGTTGCAGAATAAAATAACAAGCACTTGTCCAAATCTTCACTGAGGCGTGAGGCAGCTCAGAGTAAAATAATCGTCATGTTTGGTGTTAAATGGAGTGAAAAATGCCATGTTTTGCTTAAGTAAATCAGGTGAGTGCAGAAGAGACATCAATTAAAATAAAGCCATCGTTCAATTCGGCTGCTGTGCTAAATGCATATTCATCATTTTGGCGTCTTAAAGGAGACATGATGCTAACTCGACATTTTTTGTTTGTTTTGTTTGGTGCCCCCATCAAAAACAGACTTGGAGTTGTTAATAGATCTTTCATTATTCAAAAACATCCCCTTTATTAATTCATTTCTGGGTCGGGGGTAGCAGTCCCTTCCTGATCCTCCTACAGGTGGTGGGTCCACCGGAGAATGGACAGCAGACTTCAATGGGAGCAGATAGAGTAGGTCGTGTCGGAGGATCAAACACAAGCCCATAAACTTTTTGACAATTTCTCAGGTAAAATTGCATGGCTGTTTGCAAGCAGTAGTTTTCAAATTTGGAAACATTTATTTCCTTCCTCTATTGGTACCGTATGGAGATATTAAGATATTATTATTTCACATTTTCATATGAAACAACAACATTAATAGTGTACTAATTCTATTATTAATGGTCACAAATAATGCATAGTATTTCTTCTTCAAGTCTGTCCCTGGGAGGAAGGATGATGAAATCGTAGGTGTATTGTGAATAAATGCGAGATCAATCTGTACATCACTGAAGACTGCAGCTACAGAACAACATCGAGTTCAGGGATTTATAATAGAGCTTCTTTCAGCTCTGCAAACTGCTCAATAGAAATAAGTGGAGAAATGGCCCGCTGCATCAACTGACAGATTTCAAAATCCATCAGACTGTAGACTGTTTATTATAGAAAAACATTTCGTAGTGGCCTCAAAGAAAAGAAGTGAACTTAGAAAACAAGAAATTGTGTATAACATTGAAGTTACCTGTTCGAGTAAGTCTTCCACCTTGCGTTGCCAGCTCTCCCGCGCGTTACACAGTTCTTGATCTTTGGTCTGGGACAGTTGAGCCAGAGCGTTCGTCTTGTCCTCCTCATGGTCCTCTCTGAGCTCCTCCCGAAGTTTCTTACACTCCTGTCTACAACACAACAGACAAACAAATGCTTGGATATTGGGTCTGGATGCAGTGCATTCTACTTAAAGCTACCAATATCGAATTTAATTGAAAGGGGAAATTAATTGATGATTTGTACAAACTCCAAAAAAAGATGTCACGCAAGAAATTCAATTTAAGATTATACATATATTACATTTATGTGGACGGAAATAGGTCCCAGTCAACTGTATTACATATGTACAGTTCCTATGGTATTAAAAAAAGACACACTCACAGAGGGCCTTGTGCCTGCTATCCTGCATGTCAGTGCATTATTCTCTAAAGTTATTTCCATTTTCATCAAGGGCACAATATTATACTGGATATACAATTTATTTGTTATAAAGCAAGAAAGACACATTTTAGTTACAGTCGGCGACTCAAAATATAGGATCCGGGGCAGTACATTCTACTTTTAGGCTGCTACCAATAGATACATAAATAGATAGATCTCTGTCATATCTGTGGAAACATTATTTTAAGTAATTTCCAATATTTACAATCAGACTTACACTGGGCTCTATTATGACTAGAACTAAATTGGAATATACCACGTGACCCGAACATACAACACACAGTCAACACAATAGATTCTGCTGTTTCTTGGCTCTGCTGGTTGACATTACAAAGACTAGTGAATTCCCCTGTAGGAAGTGTAGGGTGAAGTGTGATTACTAGAATGTTCCAGAATATTCCAAGATGTACATCATGATTGGTGCCCATTCCATTGTTTTATTGTTTTGTTTGAATTACATGTTTTCAAACTACAGCAATGTGACATCATTCAATATCTTGTTTGTGCCCAATCCAAAGCTGGCATCATGACTCACACACAGACGTTCCTTCAATTATAAATAGCTTTACTACAATGTTCTACAATGTTACTCCCTGTGTGATTCAATGATCAGAACTGGGTTTTTCTGAGTGAAGGTTGCATGTTCTCCTCATGCCTGCGTAAGTTTCCTCCGGGTGCTCTTGTTTCTCCTACCACTAAAACAAATACAACAGATAAAATCCTCCAGCTCTGGTTCTGACCAAGCCGGAGATGGGTCCCCAAGTGCTGTACTACTGCAACCACTGCTGTTGAAAGAGGCCCTAGCCGACATTACAGGGTGGGTCAATTGCAGAGGCCACGTTTCCCTATGGGCACAATAAACTATAACGGTTTTGATATTTTTTTAAAGAAAATATCAAAGTATATCAGAGTTTTCAAAGAAACACATTGTGAACTAATCAGACCTCGATATACTGTCTTTGTTATGTAAGAAAACATAGTAATGGCTTGAGCTTTATATACTGAAATAATGATTATTATTACTATTTCATGCATTGGGCTGTGAGCAGATTGGGGGTGGTCGTTTCTTTTTCACCTTTCAGTCTGGAAAAAACTGATCTGAGGATGTGACTGTTGCCAAAAATAAATGCATGAGAAAGCTGGTGATAGAACCAAACTGTTTCTATCACCAGAGCGATGAACTAGATTTATGGGTTTTATTTCATACATATTTCCATGCCAAATAAAACAAATCGTTATAGTGAGCAATATATAGAAAGTGCTGCTGGTCCTCATGTCCTACGCTGCTGTAAGAGCAGAGTGGGCGTATGTGCGAGAAGCTAAAGCGGATCTTTTTGATATGACTGTGGGCTCTGCGGAATGACAGGACGGCCCCGCCTCCATCACGTTTACCATCAGCCTCCTCCACACGAGCACCACTCATGTCCTCACTCCACCGCTCACATATGCGCGCTGTCGGCTCAGCACAAACACACACTGCTCACACACACACGGCGCTCAGATTGAATATATGCTATAGCTCTGTTGGCATGAACTACAAAGGTCTCTCAATGATGGGCTCCCCGAGGATTCTCACTTTTTTTTTCCCTTGCTGATGTAGGATGGTCAAAGGACAGTGGTGATGATCCAGGACACTGAGAATTCCATGATATTTACGGACTTTAACAACATTTATGGACATTGGTCATCTGCCCCTTATGGCCAATGGCTCTGTGTTTTTTATCAATGGATTTCTTGTATTGGAACAGTTTGATTCTCTGATCTGTGTTGGCAAAGTCAACGGTTTTTAAAGTCCACCAAGAAAACTGTTGGATTTAGGGCTATATAAGAGTGAGTGATTTTTCCCAGTGAAAGGGTTTTTATATTCTGTCATTCCTTGCCGATAAAGAAGGGTCTAAGGACAGTGACGATATGGGACATTGGTCATCCCACGCCGACCAATGGCTCCTGTGTTTTTTATAATCACATTTCCTGTGCTCGAACTGTGTAGTGTCTCTGCTCTGTGTTTGGCAAAGCAACAACTTTGTAAAGTCCTTCGAGACGACTGCTGTTGCAATTTAGGGCTATACAAATAAAATTGAATTGAATTGATTGCTGTTAAAACCGCCAAACACAGGGCTTTTCTAAATGGGATTGCTTTGCTATTTTCCATAAACAAAACTTTCCATATATTTTACTTACCTACAATTTGCTTTTTCGTGAGCAATGGATTTAAGTAATGTATACTGTCATTTCCTTTTTCTGCTGCATAGATCCGCTCGAGTTGAAAGCAAAGTTGGCAACATAACTGCAAACAAACACTTTTAAAATGCTCCCTGTATTGACTTTGACACACAAATACACAATTGTTTTTTCTTTGAATTTAGCTCATTACATACATTTGTAAATAGTCACACACTGGAATTGATGATAGATACTCAAAGATACAAATCAAATACAACAAACCGCAAAGAGCACAGGTACTCTATAGACATACAATAGCAGGAAATGTGGGTCCCATGTTTGTGGGTCGATGTTAAAGGTCTATGAGCCGATCCTTTCAACAGGTCCAGTTAGTTTGGTAATCCCCAGAGCTTCTCACTGATTAGGCCATAACAACAGAGAGGAACAAGGATTAGAGCCTGGGCCTTAATGCAGACGGTCCACTAACCACAGTGTGCTTACTCTCCACACCAAATTAACAAGAAGCTGCAGCAGAGAAGCCTCAAGGAATAAAAGCAGAAAGAAATCCAATATTTTTGTTGTGGTCATTTAGCTATTACAGTATAAGTCAACTATCAATCCATCCATTTTCTTCCGCTTTATCTGTTGCCAGGCAGCAGTCTAAGCAGAGATGCCCAGACTTCCTCATCCTCCAGCTCATCCAGCGGAATCCTGAGGCGTTCCCAGGCCAGCAGAGAGCCTGGGTCTTCCCCGGGTTTTCCTTAAGATGGAAGATGCCCAAAAATCCTACCCAGTCAACTAAGTGAAAAACATGTTCCTAAAACCACTAAGTTTTGTTTTCAGGAAAGAAGACAGAAGCAGATGCAATAGAGAAACACAAAACGCAGATCATCTGTGGAAAGCATAAACCAGGAGTGCTCATTCTGCGTTGAACAAAAAATTATAAATTATGATTTTACCCAAATATTTTTATTTTTCAACAATTAAATTAACTATTTTACATCTGTCATGACTGAAATAACTGTATTTTACCTTCAACTGTATTTAAACTTCAATGCAAAGAAAGTTAATTGAATAAAAGTATAATTTATTTGCAGAAATTTAAATCTTGCAATAAATATACATTATACATTGTCGCAGTCATGGACCACTATCACACTTTATTCCACTATTGTGCATCTCTAGTTGACAATAAAATTTATTCAATTCAATTCAATTCTTTTATTTACAAAACTCGTAGCCATATTGGTTATACACTTTTACTTCTCCCAGGAAGCTGCATTAGCTGAGTTTACTCTGCACTGTTCTGCTAAACAACAAGACCCATGTATTGTTCTGGCTTTCTTTTTTTACACATACAACAACAACATTGTGTGCTCTGAATAGGACACTTTGCTCAAAAATCTGGGGGAAAACTCTGTATTTGCCGCTGGACACCAAACATTCAGACACACATCCAGGTTACACACCTGAGAGTCTCTGTCCACTTTAGCTCCAGCTCCAGTGCCATCTTGTCCATCTTCATCTTCTCCTCCTCTTTGGTTGTGATGAGTTTGGCTTCGTGCTGTCGTTTCTGCGTCTCCAGCTCCCCCTGAGCGACAAACACAATACGTTGACAAAGAGAACTTTTATATGAATATTATGTGTCCTGTAATTTTGATGAGCCCACAAAACTGTATTTGTCGTTGCGAGTTCAAGTATGAGGTGGAACTACTTTTCAACCGTTAAACATGAAAACATATTTCTGTTAAATGTCATATTTTCTTGGGTATATGTCCCCAGATAACAGTTTATAGTCTGTAAAGATATTTGTAAAGACTTTATTGGAGCACTAGGAGTAGATAATAATAAATATTGAGGACTGCTTTTTAAATTTCTGGTTGAAGCAGTTACAGCGTAAAATTCATTTGACAGGATTCAATTTCATATTTTATATTAGCTTTAGGTTTGTACGTTTAGAAGGAAACTCTTAACAGGCGAGTCAGCGTTTTAATATTTTCCAATCGAAGCCCAAAGTGAGTTCAGTACAAAAGCGTTTGGGTGTTTAATGACAAAGCGAACAGCCCGGCGATAAATGTCAACTTCCTGCAGAATTAATGCAGAACTTCAGTCAAGAGTTTGAGTGAGAGGAAGTGAGAAAAGAATTAATCGTATTCTGATTTAGTCGCACTCATAATGAATTTAAAAAACTGCAATAATAAATCTATGACTAGGACTTTCATGCATATGTTAAATCATGTATTTGTCAGACAAGCTGACAAGCTGAAAGAACAGGCATTGCTGGTTTGTAGAACAAGACCCAAAAAAAGTAGCTGTTTCTGTAGAGAAGGCAGAAATAGACAAGAATAGACAAGAATAGATAGGAACAGACGGACAGGAGCGGTGTGGAAAAATCTATTCTGTTCTCTATTCATGTTTTGCATGTGCGCAATTAAATCAATATAAATAATTATCTGTTTTACTTTAGTGCAGGGAATACTCTGGTAATTTACATTTGTGAATTACATCCACAAGGTGGCACTTGTTGTGGTGCTTCGTTTTCATTCATTCAAATAAAAATGGCATCATCACAACCGGTTCTACACAACACGTTTTTGCACTACCCTCCTAATTTTCTGCTCTTGTTGTGATATTTGAGCAGATTGAATAATATGAAGGACATGAATCGCAATAATTAATAGAATCACAACGCAATATTTGCTGCATCGCAATTTGTTAAGAATCGCAATAATATTGAATTGTGGCCAAAATATCCCAGTACAATCGCAATGTCGCATTTTTGCCACAGTGCTGTGTCCAAAATGGAACTAGTTAATAATGACCTGCAGAGCTGATAGAAGGTTGCTGGTCTCTCGGAGGCGGCCTCTGGTGGCGTCCAATTCCTCCAACAGTTTGTCCTGGGCCTCCTTCAGTGAGGAGATCTGTCCCTCGGCTGCATCCAATTTCTGCTCCCCTTGATGCACCTCCCTTTGCAGCCAGGACACCTGCAGAGACATACAAGACACAATAGTGATCCTCAGTTCTACAAAACTAAAACGACATTGATGATAGAAGGTGAATGGACTGCATTTCCTTATCCTCTTAAAGGAGCAATATGTAATATTTGCATGTCAAGTCATCATTAAATGACCCGAATATTTCAAAAGGCGTTATTAAATCATACTCTTTTCGAATTCATCTTTAACTGATAACAGTAGTTCAGCCGAGATATTTGATCATCAAAATTAGTTTTACGACCCGTAAAAGTTGTTATTGTTTTGATTTTGATGTCCTACCCTCCGCCGTTTCGCCAATCAGGAAGTGTCATGTAAGTCAGTGATCAAGTTGCCAGAACTCCGCGCGGCTCATTAATCTCAGTGGTAAAATAACATGTGGCGTAGAACTAAAAAAGGTCTTGTTATGACTCTCAAATAATTAATGACAAAACAAAGACTAAAACGAGGATTTATATCGGGATGCCTTTGAACAATTGAGACAGCTGATAAAAGTTTACGTGTGATGCAGAATTTTCTAGTTTGATTCCGTTCTTCACGGTGTCTCTTTTCGTGTGGACCGGTGGACTAGCGGTCTAAGTTGCGCGCTTGCGATGCAGGAACCCGGGTTCGATCCCGGGCTATGTCTTTTTGTATTTATTGCATGTGATCACATTCTATGACAGATTGCTCTAAAAACGGTAAAAGATGAAGGTCAAGACGTTTTTTTGCAGATTATAGCTTAATTGTAAAAATAATCATTTAAGACCACATGTACCCCAATTAAAATAATGTTAGTCTCTTTTTGATGTGGGACTTTTACATGTTTGTCTAAAAAATAGGGAATAAATAAAATTGAAAGGTGATATCCTCTTGAGCAAACCCTGATGTTGATACGCTGAAGAAATACGTTCCAACATCCATTCTTCCCACTCCTATTTTGGACATCAATTTCTTATTTATTTTGCATAAACTATGTATAATTACATTGCTTTTATTTTGTTTTTGTTTTTTATCTCAAATGTCCAAATTATAATAATAAAAAAACATGAATCAAAACATTCATTCAGCATTAGCACGGCTGTCATGGCAATGTTAATGGAGACGGACAAACAACTGCAAAATAATTCCCTGTGTTTGCTGCTGGATTTGGTGTGAATCTGGCAACCTGAGTCAGGGAGAGTGGGAGAGGACTACAAAATATTGACTGTGGCTGCAGTACCACTTTTGGCCAGATTTTTACATATTGCTCCTTTAACACTTTCATCAAATGTATATTGTTTTGTTCGCATTTATCGTCTTTTGGCATGTGTATCTTTTGCAGTATTTAAAATATCTGTTCAAGTTGTCATTTTTCCTATATTTTTTAAACATTACACTGCAAAAAGTGATGAAAAATAAGTAAAAAAATCCTCAAATTTGGTAAACATATCTTGATTGGAGAACATTTTGACTGCCTTTTGATTGTATGTAGTTTATTGTATGCAGCCACGCAAAAAAATTGAATATTAGCATAGGAACAGTGAAACTAAAGTAATTCCCTCGCAATCTCACAATTTGTAAGGCGTTATAATGACGAGAAGCACAAGATTTGTGCAGTGTTTAGCTCAAACGGTGTTTTGAACATTCATTAAAAGAAGCTCTTGTTTCTATGACAACCAGGCCATAGCTGTGACGAATGACGGAAATTACATTAAACACGTTTTTGGCCCTGAGTTTTAAAGCAGTGTGGGTTGGGTGGATGGAGTTTAAAAACAGTTGCGGTGCTTCGTCTATAAAGTGGGCAAGTGGGTTTGTAATGGACTTATCTGAAGAATGTGTGGCCCTGTTTTTGTCTTTTTTGCGTAAAATGGTCCATAATGTGAGTATATGTGTGTAGATAATTATTACTGGCTGTAAATCAATCTCAGCTTCTCAGTTCCACCATCCTAATATTTTGTTTTTGCAATGTCGGATCCGATCTTTAAGCTTTGAATAGCTTCCCTTAAAGTGTCTTTTTTGTTTATTTGAATTGGACAGTGTGTATTTTGATTAACAATAGCAGCAACTGTAAATACACCAGATTGTGGCTTTACTTTCCATCTGCAGCTCCACAGTCACACTCACAAACACACACTCATTCAACCCTCACCTATTGTACATTTTGTTAGCGGTAGGGGAAACCGTAGCATCTGGAGAAAACCGGAGTTGACAGGGAGAAAACATGCAAACTGTACACAGCCCTGTCTGAAGGTGGAATTGAACCCGGTACCTTCTAGCTATGAAGCACAAGCACTAACCAATGCACCACCCAATGAGGAAATGGGTGATATGCTCACAAAAAACCTGTATTGGAATCTATGACAATGTGAAGAATAACAAATTGAATCCTCAGTTTCAAGTCCTCCTCCCCTTCAGGGCTCGTGTGGTGGTACCTGTTCATTGGCTGAAGTCAATTTGGTGGTGAGTTCTTCTCGGAGCTCGTCCAGTTGTTGCAGCAGGAGGCTCTTCTGTTCCTCCAGCGACAGACGCTCGCATTGAAACTGCTGCTCCAGCTCCTGCACAAGAAACACAAACACTGTTGACATGTGCAAGATGTTCAGCTTTGATGCTTGTTGTCACAACAATATTCATTTTTCAACATGATGAACCATCACATATGTCAGTTATTATTTTACTTGCGAATTGTGTCATCTAAACATTTTCTTTTTTGCTATTTTTTAGTTTTTTTATTGATATTATTGAATAATTAAACACACGTGTGCGTGTGTGTTCTCTCGCTCTCTCTCTCTGTCACACACACATACACACACACACACACACACCAACGCTCTCTATCACTCGCTCTCTCTCTGTCACACAACCTCACACAGAGACAAACATAATACAAACCACACAGACACACACACACACATACATCTGTAATACACTCTAGTGCAAGAATATTGAAGTAATAAGTCGTCATCTCTGGGGGTGAAAATATTCATTGATGACACTACTGGACATGTGACTAAGTAAAGTGACAGTGGACACACGTGGTCCCCTATTGTACATTCTGACAATATTGCACATTATTGTACAGAAAACCATTGAAATCCATTATTAGAAATTTCCCTTCATGTCTGACCTAAGTTGGTGTTGTGCATAGTGTCGTAGCTCACAGATGTGACAGAAAGTAAAATAAAAGGGGGGGGGGGGCATAGCAGCAGTTTTTAAAGATCGTATTGTCTCCCATAGAGTGTCTCTTGGGAAATTTTCATCATTTGAGTATGTTTCTTTTAAAATAGAACAAAAGAAATCTTCTTCCATTCTTATTATTGTTGTGTACAAGCCGCCACAGTCATGCCATAGTTTCACTGATCATTTCACTGAGTTGCTTTCAGTTGTGTGCACAGATTTTGATGGTTTGGTCATTGTAGGTGATTTCAATATACATGTAGATAATGCTAATGATAGATATGCAATAGAGCTGAGCTCTGTGCTGGAAACCTTTGGTCTCACTCAGCATGTGAGTGGCCCCACCCACAGCAGAGGACACACTCTCGATCTGTTAATTACCAAGGGGGTTAATATTTCAAATGTAAATGTGGTCAATGTTGCTCTGTCTGATCATATTTGTGTATTTTTTGACATGTGTCTTGATTGTAAACCACCAGCTGAATCTTCGGTTGTTAGAAGAAGACACATAAATGATAATACAGGCGAACTGTTCATGGGGAGGGTAAACTTTGAGAACACGTTGTGTGTTACTGTAGATGAATTACTTGATTCTGTCACCACCACTGTTTTGAATGTTCTGGATACAATTGCTCCTGTAAAGGTTAAAATAGTTACAAACAAGCAAAAAGCGCCATGGACTAAAGCAGACTCGGTCAGGGCACAGAAGAGAGAGTGCCGGAAGGCCGAGCGGAAGTGGCGAAAGTCAAATCTCAAAGTTGACCATGAGATCTTCAAAGATGCGTTGTGCAATTTTAACAGGGAACTACGTAGAACGAGGGAAATGTACTTTTCTGAAACTATTGAAGGCTGTAGCAACAATCTACGTGTTCTGTTTTCAACAGTAAATAGATTGACGAATCCCCCTGTTAAGATGCCATCAGAACTTACTTCCAAATCTAAATGTAATGAGTTTGCTCAGTTCTTTAATGACAAAGTCCAAGGTATCAAAAACGCCATCACCTCCACGATAGAAATAATAATCCAACCGCCAGTGAGGCTTTTTGGGCTGACGCACTTTACACCAGTACAAATTGAAACTGTCCAGGAGATAATCACTAGTCTGAGTTCCTCCACATGCAGCCTGGATGTATTACCTCCTAGATTTCTCAAGTCAGTTCTGAGCAGTCTTTTACCTTCACTTACACAAATAGTTAATATGTCTCTTGAATCTGGAACATTCCCAATGGCCTTGAAAACGGCGGTCATCAGGCCCCTCCTAAAAAAGAGGAGTCTGGAAGCCCTGGCACTCAAAAATTATCGGCCCATTTCAAATCTGCCTTTCATGGGAAAAATTCTAGAAAAAGTTGCCTATAAACAACTTACAGAATTTTTAATAATCAATAACGCTTATGATATGTTCCAGTCAGGGTTTAGACCCCACCACAGCACTGAGACCGCGCTAATAAAGGTAACAAATGACATCAAACTAAACACTGACGCAGGAAAAGTCTCAGTCCTTTTTCTGTTAGATTTAAGTGCTGCTTTTGACACTATTGATCATGGCATCCTCATTCAGAGACTTGAGGACTGGGTTGGTGTTGCTGGCACCGCCCTAAGCTGGTTTAGGTCCTATTTACAAGACAGAAAGTTTTTTGTGGAGATCGAAAACTGTACCTCAGACCACTTGGCCCTGACCTGCGGAGTGCCACAGGGGTCAATCCTGGGTCCTCTTCTGTTTAATATTTACATGTTGCCTCTAGGTCAGTTGATTCACAGTAATAATGTCTCTTATCACAATTACGCTGACGATACTCAGGTCTATGTGTCCCTGACAGCAGGAGAGCATGAACCAGTGGACTCGCTCCTTCACTGTGTCCAGCAAATCGGTGATTGGATGCAAAATAACTTTCTCCAACTAAACACCGACAAAACTGAAATAATTGTTTTCGGACCCCAGAAACAAAGAGAGAGCGTTATTTGTCACCTCCAGGCTCTCTCTCTACAACCCTCAAATCAGGTCAGAAATCTAGGAGTGATAATGGACTCAGACTTAAATTTCAAAAGCCACATAAAATCTGTAACATCAGCAGCTTATTACCACCTAAAAAACATTGCTAAAATTAAAAACATAGTGTCTAAGGCAGACTTGGAGACTCTTATACACGCTTTTGTCTCCAGTCGGTTAGACTATTGCAATGGCCTGCTCACAGGTCTGTCCAAACAGGCTGTAAAACAGCTGCAGTACATTCAACATGCAGCAGCTCGAGTCCTGACCAGAACTAGGAAGTACGACCACATTAGTCCAGTTCTCAGGTCTCTGCACTGGCTTCCTGTTCCTCAGAGAATAGACTTCAAAGCAGCTTTACTTGTGTACAAGTCTCTCCATGGTCTCGCGCCAAGGTACATCCATGACATGCCATATGAACCGACCCGGACTCTGAGGAGCACAGGGACTGGACTCCTGTTAGTGCCCAGAGTCGGTACTAGACATGGGCAAACTGCATTTCAGATTCATGCGGCTAGAGTCTGGAACCGTCTTCCTGAGAATGTGAGACAGGCGTCTACTCTGGCATCTTTTAAATCTAGGCTCAAAACAATTCTGTTTAGCTGCGCATATACAACTGAATGATTTTATCTTTTCATCTTTGTTTTTATCTTTAATCTTTTTAATGCACTGTGACTATTTATGATTTTAGTCCCATCTGTGATTTTAATGTTTAAAGGTTTTTAATTTTTGTGATTTTATTTTTAATGTTTTTAATATATCTTGTGCTCTTAATGTGTTTGATTTATGCATGATGTGATAGGGGATGTGAAGCGCTTTGCGTTGCCTTGTGTAGGAAAGGCGCTCTACAAATAAACGTTGATTGATTGAAAGTAAAATATGTCTCTTCAGCTTTATGCAAACAGATCTGTCATTTACCAAGATTCATTTAAGTCTGAACTCCAGCGGATGATGAAGTGAACATTGTGTGCATTTATTGAAGTCAGAAATTGGGAGGATGATTGCCATTGTCCTTGACAGCGCTGAGAGACAGTGCTTGAGCCCCGCTGCTATAATAAAGCTCATTATGTGGGCAGATGAATGGGGAACAATTTCTGAACCGAGAGTGCCGCTTCCAAAGGACAATCACAGCTGAGGGAAATGGCAGCTATGTCAAATAAATGTTCAGCTGCCATTGGTTACAAAGAATAAGAGAATTTGTAAAAAAAAATACAGCAATAATAATAATTGGTTAAAAGGAATAATAGTCTTGCAAGAAATAAGGTGAGCAAATTTAATAAAGTTGAATTTTGGTAAGTTTAGATACAGCATTTTGGTGGAAGGCTGTTATCCATCAGTTCCAGAGTATATCTTATCTCAGCTACTTAAAAAAAGGTATCTACAATCTATATTATAATGTTAATTTGATGTCATTCTCAATCATAGAGCTGACCAAGAAATGCAAATTCATTCATAACATTCTGAAGTGTCCCCTGAAATTATTTGAAATCAATTAAACAATTATAAAAATTATAGCATTGATGGTAAGCGGTTGTTATGGGCGACCACTGCATCACTGCATCAACCCATAGTAGCCATTGGTCCAAAGGGAGCAGGGTGATCAATGTCCATAGATGTTAATAAATGTCCATAAATGTCTCCGATACCAATTATAAGTAGTCAAGGACGCCGATAACGATATATATAGAGCTGATATTAATTTGCTGTTTGGTCTAGTTTTGGTTTATGTTGAATTCATGCTTCGTAAAAGTAATAATATGATAATAAAATACTTCCTTAATGTAAAGTAATAAATATGCAAAACAACCACAGATGCAACAGATTAGCTTTAAACAAACTGTACACTAAGAAAAGGATGGATCCCTGTTACTATGAGTATAGTCTTGTATAGTGCCTGCCTTTTCTGCCCGCCAGAACAGCAAATTGTATAGTTAACTTTTGTGCAGACAACGGTGACGTATTGATTCATTTACGTATAGCAGACCTTGCCACTTTACAGATAGCATTCATTATAATTTAAAAGGAGATTGAGAACAAGGATGATGAAAGAAGGCAGTCAAAGGGACGTGACATAACTTCAAACGAATCAGTCTAGCCACTGCTTTTAAGAACCTCAGATATGAAGTGTTTGTGGCCTTCTGGAGACCTTTGATAAGAATATGTGAGGCATGAAGACAGGAAAAGGGATCCGAGGTTTTTGAGTAACCTACCAGTCCCATTCTGAATAATTAATCATTTCATTTAGACAATAACAACCTCCCAAATCAATCTTATGTATTGGAATGAATAGTGTGTTTTCATGTGACATAAAAAAATTCCAAAGAGCCTATAGTTTAAAATTGCGGTGGAGGAAAGCTGAAAAATATTTCCTGTAAACTATGATTCTTATTAGTG